GTATATCAGTTACTGCATCTCTCTGAAGATGTAGTGTTACACCACCATGTAGACACTGTTGTACCTCCTGTGTTGATGAGCTGAATAAACATTTTGACCTGGATGTTGATGTTTGTCTCATTGTATGGTAGATAGATAGATAGATAGATAGATAGATAGATAGATAGATAGATAGATAGATAGATAGATAGATAGATGGATAGAAAAAAATAGATATTTTATCTCGATTGCTCAGAGTACCCAGACCCTTGTCCTTGCCATTTGAGCTGATTGGAACTTGATGTGTAACGTGATGTAGTCTCTGAGACAAATGCTCTCCATATAAGGGGACATTCACGCTAAACTTTGATCACAACAAAGTCACAATTGAATAATGATACGTTAAACTCTACTTTTTGTCTGAACACAGCAGTATTTTTCCTAAGTGCAAAAACAAGATGAAAGTCAACAATTGTGCCCCTTTGGACAATATGGCTCATTTGAAGTGCTGCTAACAGATGCAGAAAAATGCATATAAACATTCTAAACCTTTTTCTATACTAAACTCTTCATTTCATTTGCTGAACATGGCATAAAACATGAAACTTTTTACTTATACTCCAAAACCACAGTTTCAGTCCTTTTTCGCCCTATGGGAACGTTAGCATCCATGTGTGAAGGCTGTGTAACAGTTATGATCTGCCCTCTAAGCAAAGGACCACCATGCATGTAACACACTGCATTCACATTTTTCTTGAACAACAWTTTGCTCTGCAAGGCGCTTCACTCTTCTAGTTTACCACCTCTGGCAGATGTGCATTAGCCTTCCTGGGGACAGAGACGTGGGGCACTGCCTTCACTGMATYCTTCTTCCTTTGGGTCATCTTCCTGCTCTGAAATGTCAGAGTTATCATTGTCGAACTGAGCCAAGGTGATCATGAACACTTGTATACAGAATTCAAGGAACTACATGATGTTCTTCTTTGGTGTGCCACATACAGTGAGGTTTTTGCTGTACAGTAGTCAGGTGTTGGCTAAAGTGAGATCCGTAAATTTGCATCTACAGTGTCCATTTCTTTGTACAGCCACTCATGCAATTCTATCTCTTTCTATTGACAATGTCAATAGTCCAGTGGGGTTCATGTCTCACTCTCTTGAGTATTTCCTCCTCGTCGTGCTTAGGCTTGATTTGGTGGAAGCGGAGAAACCCTCCATCGCATCCCACTGGACTGTTCATGATGATTTGTTCCTTGTGTTGTCTCTCTTCAAGGGAGATTATTTGAGTCATCAGCCCCATTATGATGTGTATGAGCATGATGCATGAACCACTTCAGAAGAACAAATCTATTTAAAAAATGTAGATCAGTACTATGCTACATATATAAATACACAGTAAATATTTATTTTAATAATTTTCATGTTTCTCATTTCTTATTTCATCCATGTTTTCAGATGTTATGTCAAATATGCCATTTAATAGTTTGATAATTTATTTGTGGCAATGTTTAGATTTATAATAGTAATTTATCACAAAAATATGGTCACCCTCTACACTAACAATAGCCTATGCTTTGTTCAAATGTGACCAACATCAGATGTTTTTCAATCTGACCCAGGTCTTTTCAGTGATGCTCCATATGTCTTCAGCTACAGAACGGAAGTCCAATTGCTTCATCTTTGGCCTTTTAATTTTCCATTTCCTGGATGACTGATGATCCACAGAAACATATAACGTCTGTCTCTCTCGAACAGTATCAATGCCAAAGTTACTGAATCAATACTTTTTATTCAATTTCTGTTTTCATTCATAATAAAAAATAAAAAGTTTATTTAATTTTATTGTATATAGATTGTTTTGTMAAAAATCTATATACATTAAAATTAAATTGTTAGGTTGGGGTATGGAATGAATTCAGGTCCGGACGGACGATGATTTTAGACAAAAAGGATTTATTTACCAAAATAAATAGCTGAACAGTGCAGCAAAAAGGAAATCAAAACACAAGGAATATGGGGAAACTCAGAAACCATGAAATAGTTAGGCAAAGCCATACAATGATCCAGTGAGGGTGGAGTACATGACCAGTATTTAAACAAACAGAGGAAATGAAGAGATGAACAACAGCTGATGAAACTGATAGGGAACTACTGACAGGTGTGTGTAACTGACTGAGAAGGGAAGTGACAGGTAACATCTGAGGCATAATGATGATGAGGAAACACAAGAGGGAGGTAGACACAAGACATCAGAAAACACACACCCTCACTGTACCCTTCCCTCAATGAATCGTCACCAGACGATAAAACGGACTACCACGGGTGGGAGGTGGGATGTACAAAGCACAAAGACAGGATGGAGGGCATTAGACAAAATACAGCAAAGGAAACACACACACAAAAAACCCCCACAGAAAACGAAACCAAAAACTGATAGGTAAGTCCTGGGAAAAAATAACAAAAACCGTCACAAAGATGGCCCTAGGCACATCTAGAGTGTTCAGAAAGTTCAGGTGGGCGCCCAGGGGCCCAACCACGACGAGGCGGAAGCTCTGGAGGGCAACCATGGACTCGGCCGCAGCGGAGGCGAAGCTCTGGCGGGTGYCTGTGGATCTGACAGTGTCGGAGGCGGCGCTCTGGTGGGTGACCGTGGGGCCAACCGCAGAGGAGGCACCGCTCTGGTAGGTGACCTAGAGCGGCCTCTAGGTCACCTACACAGCACTATGATTAGCACTATGGTTTCATTCATTCACCCATAAATGAAATGGAAACAGCTGAGTAATACTTACGGTTCACAGAATGACTTAGCAATTTTGGAAGCACACTTAAATGTTTAATGTGTGCTGGTTTGTGACAAGGCAAGTCAATGTGGCACAGAAACAGCAGTACCATGTTCAGCAACAAATTGTGCTAATTCTTTGTTGTGACTGAACATTACTCAGCTACTTTGTTCTGTTTTTGTTAGTGAGCAGAAGTGAAAAAAGATATCTTGTGATCACAAAGCAGAGATGAACTTATGGGAGACTTTTTATTCAGACCTCATAGAAATGGTATTTATTTATAAGTAAATAATCTTTTATTATTTTAGCCTTGGGTTCACAGGGAAACAGCATTTTGGAAGGAAGTAGGAGGGTCGTGTGGTCTGATGAGTCCAGATTTACTATGTTCCAGAGTGATGAGTGCATCAGGGCTGCAGCTGAAGTGATGCACCCATCATAGTGCCTACTGTACAAACCTGTGGGGGCAGTCTATAATCTGGGGTAGCTGCAGTTGGTCTGCTCCTGGTTTAGCAATGTTGTGCAGCCAAAGAACAACATTGTTTGGCTATCTGATTATACTAAACAATCAGCTCATTCTATCAATGGACTGTTTTTCCTTTCCTGATTGCATTGGTATGTTCCAAGATGARAATGCCAAAACTATGAAAGAGTAGTTCAAGGCGCATGAGACATCATTTTCACACTAAACACCAAGGAGAACTTTTGGAATGTGCTGGACAAAACCACAGTGGTCTGAATCTGTCATCATCAATAAAAGATCTTGGCAAAAAATTAATGTACCTCTGGACAGAAATAAATGTAACATTGCAGAGATTTGTGGAAAGAATGCCACGGTAAACGCATGCTGTAATTAAAGCTAAAGACAGTCCAACAAAATATTAGAGTGTTTGATCATTTTTGGCTGGGCAGTGTATTGCCTTTTCACAAAGATCATTAGTCACACTTGTGAAATAATCCTTTCCCTACCTAATGACTGCTGTACTGTCATTCCATTGGAGAAAGGGGTGGCGTACCTGGGGACAGTGGTACATAGGCCTGTGGAGAGGGCGGACAAGCCGCATAAGCATAAATGCATGGACCAGTGTTGTTTTTTTTATTTTTTTTTGGTTTGTTGGTTTTCTTAACTTTTTTTTTTGGCCATGGAGTTTAAGTCGGTCAGGTCCGTGGATCACATATTTGAGGTTGGACTATTTTAATATGAAGATGTCCAAAAAAGCTTTCTTAAAAAATGATCCAAAAAACTGCAGCAAGTGTTCTGGGTATTTTATCAGCTCTGACTGCACAATAACTTCAGAATCAACATGCTAAGTATCTTGTACTAAAGCTCAATAAACAGGCTAATGAAGCTGTTACAGTCTGTTGCTGTCACAGGTCACCTTGAAAGTGGTAGCACAAGTATGACAGTCATTTCAGTGACTTTCAGTGCACTCAGTGTTTAATATGGTCAATACATTTGGCCACTACAGTACTGTCCCTCGGGTTCCCCCTGCAGCTCTGAGCACTATACCAGTGTTTTTCAACACTGGTCCTCATGGCACACTGCCCTGCATGTTTTAGAAGTTTCCCTGCTTCAACACACCTGATTCAGATGATTGCAGTTCAACAAAAGCCTGTTAATCAGTTATCAATTGAAACCAGTTTCAGTTCCAGCCTGGTGGGCCCCAGGCCATCTGCCTGAACTCTTGCCTCAAGCTGGACACACCTTGGACCCTTTTTTTGAGACTAAGTTTTTATTATTTGTTCCCAGGTTTTTGTTTTATTTATCTTCCTTCTTTTCATGTGTCTTTTTTTGTGCCCTCCATCCTGGTCTTTTGCCCCCTCCACCCACCCGAGTCAGAGTTTTGAACATCAGGAGTCGTTCCATTAGGAGTGGGTTCTGTAATGATTCTTGTTTTTTTTAATAGACTTTTCAGTCTGTTTCATTGTTTGGTACTCTTGTGTTTTGTTTTCTCATTTCCTGTTATTTTTCTCTGTTTCCTGTCTGTCACATCATCCTTAGTCAGTTTCTTTGTGTTTCTCCAGCCTACCACTCTCATTTGTCAATAATCTGTAATCACCCAAATGCTTCCACTCCCCAATCATCCTCAGTTGTATTTAACCGGTCTCTTGTCTCCATTGCCTCAATGGATCATTGCCTAATATCATGCACCAGTGTTTATCCTCATTGTTATTTTTGTTAGTCCTGTGCTGCCACATCAGCTTTTTTATTTAATCATTTAATAAATCAAAAATTTGGATTTCACTTCAAAGCCATCGTGCCTGCCTGAATTTTGAGTTCCACCATACCACAAATCCTGACATGGTGGGGCTAACCTCATTGGCAGTGGGAGCGACCCCTTGGAGGGAAACCCTTATATTTCTATCTATCTATCTATCTATCTATCTATCTATCTATCTATCTATCTATCTATCTATCTATCTATCTATCTA